AATCATATAGTATTGTTTAGTGAGTGGATTTGATTTAATATATGTGTAGAATAATAATAAAAATAGATCTTTATAAGCATACTGAAATATTGGTGTATGTGATGTGATAAAGAAAGAGGCGTATTTATCAATTTTTGCTGAATATATCATCGCCGGAGTATGTGGGTGGAGGTGAGTGGCGTGGCTTTTTTGTTGTTCTTGTTGATTTGATTTTTTAACAATATGCTTTGGAGTATTTCTAGGGAGAAGTTTAATATTTGTTGGTATCTTACTGGTGGGGGAGCGAGGTTCGTCTGCATCAGAAGTACCGTTGCCGCCAGTAGTGGTGATGGGACTGAAATCGGCCTGCATGGAGCTCATTGGCTGAAGGTGTTTACTCGTTGAGGAGAGTTCATTTATCTCTGTTTGATTATGTTGTATTGTGGTTGTTGTAGTTGGTGTTATAGCTGTGAAACGCACAATTTCAGCGCAAGTCACGTCATCCTTGTTGTGGCGCTCTTTGTATATTTTTGTTTCTGTACGATGGTCAACCTTCTCAATGGTTTTTATCGCCTGCAATTCTTTTTGTTGTAAAAATATAACGCATTTTTTGTCAATAGCACTGTGGTTAGAATCATTTAGTTTATTGTTGGTGCAATTAATGCACGACGGGGATTTTGGGCATTTTTCATCATCGGATAACAAGTGATATTTTTCGCCACAGTTTTGACAAGTCTTTTCACTTCTGCACCATTTCGCTTTGTGATTATACTTCCAACAATTTTTGCACCTCATTGGAAGAGGGATGTAAGGTCGTACAAATATTTTCTCATAGCCAATATTTATTTTCTCTGGAAGTGTCATCGATTGGAATGTCAGAATTATTAATCCAGTCTCATTTAGACAATCATTTTCTTTTTTGAGAATTTTCTTAACTTCCTTTATGCCTTGATCACGTAACTCGTTAAGAATTTCATCTTCCTGAATTCCCCTTAAATCGTTGGAATAAATTATGCCTTTGTAGACATTTAATGATGGGTGCTCAGTTATATCAACTTGAATGGAGGAGTTGAGAGCGGTGAGGGTAATTAGTTTTTGAGCTTGGGTTAAATTTTTTGTGAGGAGAAGGCGAGTACCGTTTTGAAGTTTTTTGCATTCTTTAATTTCACCACAAACTGCATCGATGGTTTTTTTTAATTAGGAATGGAGAAATATCGTTTAAGTTTTTTTCACTATTAACACGCTTCATTATAAGGTATTTGGGTCCAGGACAAATTGTTATAAGTGTTTTGCCTTTATTAAGCTGAAACCCATCAGTGTTTTTTATATTGAATATATCGGGTGGGTCACCCATCGTCATTGTTTTTTGAAGTCAAGTACCAAGCCGAAATTTAGTTAATTAACGTAGAAGAAACGAATATCAACAACTATTACTTGAATATGACAAGGGGTTTTAACGGTTATAATCCACAAATTGATGCTCAGGAGAAAAGCTACGCTGTCTATTTATAACCGAACACTATCAATACACTTATGCGTGTGCACTGCACAAAAGGTCAAGAGAGACTGACTTTGTATTTTATTTTGGCACATTGTATGGCGAAGAGCTAATCAGTTTTGAAAAAACCGGCTAAAAACGGCTAATTTTTTTCTGCAAAATGGCTAACAAATCGGTTGCCGGCTAAATCGAAATTTCTCCGGCTGTTTGCTATCGCAACCGGCTAAATCTAGCCGGAAAACGGCTAAAATGGCAACACTGCTGAGCATTATGTATCACGCCGATATATAAACAAAAAGCCTGAAAAGCTGTCCGCGCCTGAAAAGCGATTTGTGGAGTTCTACTCTAAGGCCCGTTTTCTCAAGTAGCCCTTTAAACAAAAATTTTGTTCTTAAAAAATTAGTTTGAAAGGCACATAAATTCTATAACCCACTTAAGAAAGCGGCGTAAGTAGGGATGAAACAAAACGAGCAAATAGAAGTACATACTCGATATATAGTAATTTTGGCATCGATACTTTTGAACCAAGTACTGAGCAGGTATCGAAAAACAAAAACTCGTATCGAAACCCGATACCACGGTAAATTTGGCTGCGGCCATTTTTCCTTCACTTGTTGTTTATGGGTGCTTAAATGCCAGCGAATACCGCGATAATGCGACAAAGTCGATACAGAGCAAAGAATACGCGCTCCAATTGTTTCACCAAAGTCGATGTAATGCGCCCCAACTGTTCGAGTGGTAGAGTGAACTGGATGAATGTTCAGTGCACACGCTTCAACGCGATGCTAAGCTCACTGAGTAACTCTACGAGTTTTACGCGCATTAGTATGTGAATACCTTGAATAAAATTCTAACAGTGCTCTTACACGATATGTATTTCCATATGTAATTGCTACTTTTTTGTATCTACTCGCATGTACCATATATTGGAACGTACCAGAAAAGTAGCATTTACATGTCCAAATAAATATCGTGGAAGAGTGTTATGAAGGTAACGGAAGTCTAGAGTTATTGAACAAAATAAACAAAGAAGAAAAAGAGTAGGGTACAAAGAGACGATTAAAAAGTTTTTGGAACAAACTGAAATATTCCAGAAAATTTATTGGTCTTGAAAAAATGGATGTCAAATTGAAAAATTATTCTAGTTCGCGGTATCTAGATACCAGAAAATCTTTCATATTTTAAATGCTTTTAAGAAGTTCTTTTATTAAAATTTCATTCGTATCATTTTGTTTCTATACTCTTCACACTACTGATTGTATGTTTAATTCTACCAGGTGAAGTAATAAGGAAACATTTTTGAAACTATCGTTTTAAATTTTTGGCTCATAATTTTTGTACATAAAAGTCCATTTTCACTGCACGGAAATCTTTGGAAAATTTTCTATTACTGAGAAGTACAACAAATAACGACTGTTCTCAGAAATATTTTATGAGCACATTTGTTATTTAACGAGATTAACTTTCTTGTAATCTTTTTCAATAAATTGTCTGTGTTAAATACTATTCATTATTAAACGTATACTTTGGAGTTTAGGATTCTCAGATAATAGTTGACGTATGGAATAAAAAAACACAAAATTGAACTTATTTAGTTCATACGGAATACCTTCATAGCCAAAAGTATCGATATGAGTAGGTATCGTTTTACTTTAGATCCGATATTTTTCAGGTATCGATACTTTCCTTCGATACTAGTTCCAAGTAAAAGTATCGATACCTGCATGTTTTTTTTCTTTTCGGTCTTAAATTACTTAAAAAACATAATAGAAAAGAAACTCATATGAAAATTCAAATTTAACAACAACATATACACCCAAAAAAACGGGCTAGGCATGGGCAACCCCACATCGGCGATCCTTATGGAGGTATTCATGCAGAATTTGGAAGAAATGTACATGGAGTATCTTACGTCACAACAAGTAGCGGCGTTCTACACCAGATACGTTGATGACATCATATGTATTTCCTTTAACAAAGAAAAATGAGGAACAGATATTGGAATGCCTCAACAAACAGCACAGCAACATAAATTTCATAATGGAACAATAAATGGAAGGAAAGCTAAATTACTTAGATCTGACGATTAAAATAAATAAGCACCAGTAGTCTGCAATATGAAATTTTTGGGATGCCCACAGCCACAGATACAATAATACATAATACTTCGAACCATCCTCATCAGCATAAAAAAGCCGCCTTTAGATAGATGATCAATAGAATTTAGCGAATACCACTAACAAAAGAAGGATACAAAAAAGAACTGAAGGCAATATATGTCATAGCCGCTAATAACGGATACAAGAGAGATCTGGTAGAGGAAATCCGAAGGGAGCACAAAAACAAAAAGCCAAACAAAGAAGAAAACAAATGACAAAAATTGACTAGCAAAGCTATTTCAGAAACACAACCTTCACACATCATGCAGAACAAATAACCACGCGGGAAGGATACTACGGAACACCACAAACCAAGAAGACCCATTGGATAAACAAGGAGTGTATAGGTAACTTGCAAATACCAGAGTAGTTATATAGGTCAAACAAGACGTAAAATAAAGAGAAGATTCCGCGAACATTTAAGAGACTATAACAAAAAGACACAGAAACCGAGCGCAATACCAGAGTGAAATTTTGTTAACCGCATGTTTAACAACAAATGTTCAACAACGCAAATAAGAAAGGCAGCGAAACTACTGCATGTACAACATAAAAGCCAACGACTAAACGTACGAAAATGTGGAAGTATACAAACTAAAAACCTTCGACGGCAAAATAATAAACGAACCAACAAATACCACGTCGGATGTTATAATCGAACCCCTAAAATTGATTTAAGAAAAAAAATAACAAAACAACAGGCATGTGCACTCCGAACACACCAAAAAGTACCACCAGGGCAACAATTATCGACCTTTACCTACCTGCAGGCAGAACCATATAGCGGCAACATAACGGATGTTAATATCGAGACACCGAAGATGAACCTACTTCTAAAAAAATGACACCATGGCATATTTAATAATTAATCATCGACGAAAATTACATGACCTGAGATAAATGAACATAAATTAAGGGCAAAAACTCGAAAGAGACAGAACGAAATTAATCATCGACGAAAATTACATGACCTAAGATAAATGAACATAAATTAAGGGCAAGAAGAGACAGAACGAAAAATTACACTGAAGATGGCACAACGCCGAAACCGGTTTGTCTGCAAACCAAGCTTGACCAGGGATGACGGAAATTCGTTCCAAAATAAATCATAAGAAAATCTGAATCGCTAAGACTTTTGATTTGAACTTAATGTCTTCAGCGCAGAAAACACAAAAACTCAATTTTCTGAGAATTAAATGTCTAACGATTTTTTATTTTGGTCTTATACTTATACTTATATACGTATCGCGTGATACAAATACACACCTGAAATTTGTATGAGTTAATCATTTACTTTTAATTTATTTTGCTAAACTATGTACATACACGTTTTTTTTTCTAAGACTTAACTTATTTCTACTCACCTCTACACGTATCGTCAGATTGTATTCCTTTATGCTCTCGTAATCCAACGGATGATTCACCTTTATATCGGCCCATGTATCCCCATTATCCGGTCTTTGTTGTAAGTAAAACGTATGAAACTTGTTGGTTTGTGCGGTGGACCCAGGCATTAGTCGGTAAAAAACAGTCGGATTTCCTTCGATACCCGAACTGATAGCGCGATTGCCGAAACAAAATTTGAGTGAAAAATAGTCAGTATTAGTGAAATAGACAAGCTGGTATAAAATTACTATAAATAATCGCAAAGGTTAATACAATACTTGTGGGAGCCGCCAAATAAAATATGATAAAGTGGTAAATCAGGATTCAATAAGTTTGCGAACTTTTTAAAAAAGAACAAATCGATTGATTTACGTGTCATTTTATCACATTTTATTATTGACTAGATGAATTTTTGTTTAGTAAATAATGTGGCCATTCGAGCAAATATCCGGTAAAATTGTGAAATATTTAAAAAATTTTCTATTATTTGGGTATTTTGTAAAGTACTCGAAAATCAAGTTGTGCATTAGTTAGCACAGCAAAAAGTTGTAGCCTAATGATAGGAAACGATCAAACTTTATTCAACAGTTGAAAATATTGCTAAAATTTAATTGATCTTTATATGGGTATTATTTTTAGCAGAGGCTCAAAACTGGAGGGAAAGCCTTAGTCCAATTTGCAACTAATCATACTTTAAGAATTGATTTCTCATTACGCAATTTTTAAAGGTAAAACCATTTGTTGGTATTTATTATTAGATGCAGAAATAATACTTTTTAAATGATATTATAACAAATTCTTTCAAATATTTGCACGAATTTTGGAGAGTGTACTAGTTTTACTTATAATAATAGAAAGGCAATTGAATACAAAAAAATTTTTTCTATAGATAATTGTTTTTACAGAATTAAATAAGTGATTTATCTGCATAAGAAAAAAAAACATTGTTGTTTTAATTTTTGAATGCGCATGCGTCATAACAAAATACAAAAAATATTTATGGCGCACATATTTGCGTAAGTAAATACGGTACATGTATACATAGTATAGGTATAGGTATAGGTTTATGGAAAAAAAGTGCGAAAATGAGATGTGAGACTTTAAAAAGGAAGAAAACTGCTTAAATGTGATATTTGCTGAAGCATGTCAAAAAATATATACATACTTTTATGTTAAAAACATAATCGTTTACCATAAGAAAGGGGCGTTCAACAAAACAGATGTAAAATGGCATCAAAACACGTAATTACCATTAAAAATACATATATTAAAGCCCAAAAACATAGTTGATAAGGGTGTGGAATTAAAAAAATCGCAACATAAAACAGACTTGCTCTTTTTCTTATACATACTAAAAACAAAACAACAAATCATTTTGTAAATAAACAGACCCATACGGTTTAGACTGAGACAAAATAAAGCAAAAAACTTGCAGTTGAAATTGGCAGTGTGTGGCAGATGTGAGTGACATATTCCCACATATTGCTCGGCACAGTGACGGGCACGCAAAGATTAAATACCACGCTAAAAGACAAAATGGAGAAAACAAGGAGCAAAACAATAGCCTTTGAAAGAGGCTGTAAGGTATACACTTGGATAAAAAGCTCCGCAGGACCGAAGGATCTATAGGAAATATATATGAAATGGGGGAATATATAGGTGTGGAAATTGTGTTATTTCTACACATATGTATGTATATATATATATATATATATACATTTGTACATACATATACATATGAATGTGTGGGTTTAAATTTAGAGGATTGGGCTATAATTTATTGCAGGTGACGCAATAAGAGTATTGGCGTGTATGTATGTAGATGATAGGCATTCTTTTTAAGGTGATTTATATGCTGACTGATTTTTCTTGTTCGCATTATTTAACGTGCATCTGTTTTATATCCTTATCTAGTGCTGTGCTGTACATACATATCACTTTACTCCAATCTACTTTGTATTTTTCATCAGATGTATGTATTTATGTATGTTGGTGTAAATTTATTATAAAGGCCAATTAAAGAGCTTGTTAAGGATTTAGGTTACCATGTTAGAGAAGTAGCTGGTTACCGATCGCATGAGCGTTGCTCGTGTTGAATATCAACGTGGAGTTTGTATGCATAAGGTGAAGTCTTAAGTAGTGGATTACATCTGAAATTATTTGCAGTCATTTGCCCTTTAGATTGCTATATTCCCTAACTGATAACATAAATTTGGGGCTATAAAATAATGACCAACCTGCGACAATTTTATATAAATTTTTATGTAAATCTTTCCGCTGAATCCGAATACGAAATCTGAGTGTAGGAAAGTCAAACAGTTTTTGAAATACCATAGAAGTAAATTTCCTAAACAATTTACATTCGGTTTCTTACTTGGTGCATCCATACCGATTAACTATAATATCATTAATTGTGTTAAACTTTTGCTAAAATTTTAAATTATAAATTTGTATGAAAACCTTTTGCATCTATGTATTTTTACTTAAGTACTCATAACTTCTAAATTTAATATTCAATTTAGATAAGTACGGTCATATTGTACATCTAAAAAAGAAACCGGAAGTAAAACATTTTTTTATGTTGATGTATGTACAGAAAATGATTTTGTTAAATTTTTGTTAAATAGCAAATTTAATAATCGTATTGCAACTAAGTGCGCTTTTTTCAGATCTCGAAAAGACCGAAAGTTTGCTATGCCGTAAAAACTGTTCTACTTATTTATGTTTTGACTTTATGCTCGGTTGGAGTGGAAAATGATACATAAGAAATTATGGTCAAATGCCACCGGTCGAATTTCTTGTTGGCTAGTGTAATTGACATCCATACATATATTATATTTTTAATATGATTCTCTAAAAATTTGTTTTTATTTGCATATTAAATTCGAGAAAATTGTGCGTGGTCTTTGATTAATATTTATGTACGTACTAAAGATAAATCTTCGCCTTAGTTGCAACCAATGCAGAATATTTTAAATTTATATTTTTAAGTATACATATAAATGGGTTAATAAAGTCTATATCTAGTTTTTGTCGTCNAAAAAGAAGTCTGATGAGGAGATGTGGTGATCTCCGAAATAGTGCTATAACTTCTACCGCTTAGACTTTGTTGCTTTTTCAATTTTTCATAATAAACAATCGTGGTACAAAGCTCAATAAAAATATTAAAGATTAATTTTCTGGCCAAAAAATAAATAAATTTTTAAATTAAAACATACCTTCAGAATTTAAATTTTTTTCTCAAACTCTATTTGTCCTTGGCATGGTGGCCTGCACTCATGAAATCAACAGCGCTCAGAAAAATTCAAAGGATATAATGAGGCGCGGAAATGTGCAGAAGCAGGCCCCTTTGATTCGTGCCCATAGATAGACCTACATAAATAAGATCTTTCATCTATCTCCGATTGGTCAAATTGCTCGAAAAGTGGCTGTTATTTCAGCAGTGAGATGTACGGAGGACAACGAAAACGATTGCCGAGGGAGTCTCATGTCTTATAAGCAGATCAGAGTCAAAGCTCTGTTAGTCTAGACCAGTGATTCCCAAAGTGCTCCAGGTGGACCCCCAGCGGTCCACGGAAGACTCGACGGGGGTCCACAGTGACTTGAAAAAAAATATGGGGGTCCATGAGTTGTAAATGGGGGTTCACGAAAATTTATCTGGTTTCGATGTAAATAGCCAGAATAGTTGCTTGATAGCCTCTTTATTTAACTTTAATTTTTTTGAGTGGTGTACAGTGCTCTTGACGCACTGTTGCACTTACCGTCACTTTGTGTTTTCATATTTGGGGAAGCCTTAAAGGCCACCTGCAGACCTGCTGGTATGACAATGAGTGGGGCCCGGCGAAAATTGCTGGCGGCAGAGATTTAAGAACTTGTATATTTTCAATGCTACATGATAGTACGCCACCATTACCTTTGTTGAAGAGATTCTATAATATTGAGTTCCCTGAGACTGAATGCTGGTTGGATTCCATCGCTGAGACCGGACTCACACATTGTCTAATCTTCACTTATGGCTCCAAAATTGACTCTGGGTCATGATCCGGGGTCTTTTTCGAGGTTAATGGAGATAAGCTTCACTTTTCTGTAAGGGAATATGCTTCGGTCTTCCAGGCTGAGGTAATTGCAATACTCAAAGCCATGGACTACGTGGTGGAACATATGTGGAGGGGATGGAGCTTACGTGACTGCAGTGACAACCAAGCTGCACTTAAGGCATTGACCAGCCCTCTATTTAAGTACTTCCAAACTAGTTCGGCAATGGAAATCTCGACTAAAATATGATGGTGAACATAACGAGGTTGTTTTACTCTGGGTGCCAGGTCACTCTGGAGTACCTGGTTATAAGACAAACTCATGTTGCCTTCAATCTCACAAGGTCTATCTAATATTTTGCTCTCACTGAGCAGACGACACTGCAGACAACTTGCTGGACTGCTGATTGGTCACTTCACGTGGCACAAACACCTGACTGTGATAGGCGTAAATGCCAAGTCCATTTGCCCATCTTGCCTTAAAGAAGATGAGACGGTGGAACACTTTTTGTGATTCTTCCTTGCTTGGTTATTTGTCATCGATTTTTTTGAACTCGTTCTTTTCTCTATTGTCAGTTTCTGAATTAAAAGTTTGGCGTAAAAAGCTTAGCCGTTTTGATGTTTTAAGTTTTGTGTTTTAAAAATGTGACACATATTTTTCGCCTCACTTTAAAACTCGGAGCCAAGGTGTATTAAACAAGGTGGTGTTGGGGCGACAGCTGAGTTTTTCGCCGTGGAGGCCATTACGTCAAAATGATGTGTTTGTTGTAACTCATACCAATGACAGTATGGACACCAGCGTATAATTTGTTAGTGTAATTTTTTACTTATATACGGCCAACACCACCTTGTTAAATACGCCTTGCTCGGAGCGATAAAAATAAAAATGATGGTATTAACACAAATAAACTATTTTACATATCGTAAGCTGAAATGCAAAAAGACGTAACAACATCGTAGATAAAATGGAAAAAGTCGTGACTAATATTATATTTTTTTTTTCATAAAATAATGTGGGGAGTTGTAATTCGATTAAATCCATCATATAAATCAAAAAGTGAATTTTGAATTTTTTATTAGTTATGACTTCTTGTCTTTCAAGGATGATGTTTGTTAGGTCTTTTCAGGTGATGA